TTGAGTTACGCAACCATTGAAAGCTTGGGAGTAGTGGATATTTGTTTTGCCCCAGTATAATGCTTATCACTAGTGGATACTCACCAGTCCATATCCAGGAACCGAATCCACAACCCTCAGTCTCGCTCCAGAACATCTAGCTTATAGACCACCGAGCTTGCATTCAATGGCGTGCAGGTCTAACTTTAGTCGATCCACGATATTTCGGGTCCATCTTTCATTGTCTTCGGTCAATAACTTCCTCACACTCAAAAAAACTGAACTCCTCTGGTCATGGTTTCTTCCTAGAACTTTAGAAGTTTTATACCAAAGCTAGTCATAGTAGGTACACGATAAATGTCATCATGAGTTTGTGATGATGGTTGAATCCCACTGAAATCATGTACCTGGATCAGATTCCCGGTCGCAGAGCAGTGAGTGCGCACTGATGAGGAGTAGCACATTGGAATGAAACATCAGTATACTGCTTCCAGGTTTTCAGTGGTTTATGACTGAGATGGATTTGTAGTTTAAATAAACCTTAACCATCTTCACCCTACATTGACTATAGTAATAAGAATGGTTGCATTTAATATTATACGTTTAATACTGTTGTCAGCATTCAATATTTCAACAAGTTTTTCTTACTCTTCTTATACCACAAAAAAGCAGTCGATAACTTACTTACTTACTTACTTACTTACTTACTTACTTACTTACGCCTGTTACCCCTCGTCGAGGAGCATAGGCCGCTCACCAGCATTCTCCATCCAACTCTGTCCTGAGCCTTCCTTTCCAGTTCTTTCCAGTTGCTATTCATCCTTTTCATATCGGCTTCTATTTCCCGGCGTAGTGTGTTCTTTGGCCTTCCTCTTTTCCGCTTCCCTTCCGGATTCCAAGTTAGGGATTGAGTCGTGATGCACATTGGTGATTTCCTTAATGTATGTCCGATCCACTTCCAACGTCTTTTCCTTATTTCCTCTTCAGCTGGAAGCTGGTTTGTCCTCTCCCATAAAACGCTGTTGCTGATAGTATCCGGCCAATGGATGTTGAGTATTTTGCGTAGACAACTGTTTATAAATACTTGTACCTTCTTGACGATGGCCGTAGTAGTTCTCCACGTTTCAGCTCCATACAGTAGGACTGTCTTGACGTTCGTATTAAAGATTCTCACCTTGAAATTGGTTGAGAGTTGTTTTGAGTTCCATATGTTCTGCAATTGTAGAAATGCTGCCCTTGCTTTGCCAATCCTTGCCTTTACATCTGCATCCGATCCTCCTTGTTTATCAACGATGCTCCCCAGGTACTTGAATGTTTCCACCTCTTCCAGAGTTTCGCCATCAAGTGTGATTGGGTCGGTGTTCTCCGTGTTGCATTTGAGAATCTTGCTTTTTCCTTTGTGAATGTGGAGGCCTATCGATGCGGAGGCTGCTGCTACATTTGCTGTCTTCATCTGCATTTGGTCGTGTGTATGAGAGAGGAGGGCTAGGTCATCTGCGAAGTCCAAATCATCTAATTGATTCTGAGAAGTCCATTGTATTCCGTATTTCCCTTCAGATGTCGAATTCTTCATAATCCAGTCAATCACTAGAAGGAAGAGAAGTGGGGAAAGTAGACAGCCTTGTCTGACTCCGGTCCTTACTGGAAATGCATCTGTCAGCTAACCTCCATGCACCACTTTGCACTGTAGTCCATCGTATGAGTTTTGGATAATGTTGACAATCTTTTCAGGAACTCCATAGTGTCGAAGAAGTTTCCACAATGTTCTCCTATCCACGCTGTCAAACGCCTTCTCATAGTCGATGAAGTTGACGTATAGTGATGAGTTCCACTCAACTGATTGTTCAACGATGATCCGTAGTGTCGCAATCTGGTCTGTGCACGACCGATCCTTACGGAATCCAGCCTGATGATCCCTAAGTTCGGCGTCTACTGCGTCTTTCATCCGATTCAGCAGCACTCTGTTGAAAACTTTTCCTGGTACTGATAACAAACTGATGCCTCTGTAGTTCTCACATAGGCTCAGATCTCCTTTCTTTGGTATCTTGATGAGATATCCTTCTTTCCAGTCCGTTGGCACTTGTTCCTCTTCCCAAATCTTTTTGAATAGAAGGTGAAGCATGTTTGCAGTTATTTTAATGTCTGACTTCAGTGCTTCTGCTGGTATATTGTCAGGTCCTGCCGCCTTCCCACTTTTGATTTGTCTGATGGCCATCTTGACTTCTTCGATAGTTGGTGGAGTGACATCTATTGGAAGGTCAGTGTGGGCTGCTTCGATGTTCGGTGGATTCGATGGGGCTGGTCTATTCAGCAGTTCCTCAAAGTATTCTGCCCATCTTTTCCTCTGTTCCTGAATCTCAATGATTGTCTTTCCTTCTTTGTCTTTGACTGGTCTCTCTGGTTTGCTATATCTCCCTGCCAATTTCTTCGTTGTATCATATAGTTGTTTCATATTCCCTTCTCTTGCAGCTTTTTCCGCCGTCGTTGCTAGTTCTCCCATGTATTTCTGCTTGTCGGCTTTAATGCTTTTCTTCACTTCTCTGTTTGCTTCTGCGTAGTCTGCTTGTGCTTTGACCTTCTCTGCTCGTGTTCGGCTGTTGTTAATTGCTAGTTTCTTGTTCTTCCTTTCTTGAAGTTTGTCCAGGGTCCCCATAGAGATCCATTCCTTGTGACGGTGCTTCTTAGGACCAAGAACCTCCTGACACGTTGAAGTTAGTGCTTCTTTTATCCCTTTCCAGTTGTCCTCCAAAGTAGTTTCTTGTTCTTTCAGTAGATCCTGTAGAGCTTGGAACCTGTTGTTGAGAGTTATCTTGAATTCATGGAGTTTGTCAGTATCTCGAAGGAAGGCTGTATTAAACCTTTGTAGTGCTGTTTGTCCAGTTGTCCAGTCTTTCTTTAGCTTCAGTCTCATCTTGGCCACAACCAGGTGGTGATCTGAAGCTATGTCAGCTCCTCTCCGGGTTCTCACATCTTCCATTGATCTTCGGAATTTTTTGTTGATACAGATGTGATCAATCTGGTTCTCTGTGGTGTGGTCCGGTGAGATCCATGTAGCTGTGTGTATGCGTTTGTGTGGGAATATTGTGCCGCCTATAACCAATTTGTTGAAAGCACATAGGTTTGCAAGTCTCTCCCCATTTTCATTTCTCTCTCCTAGTCCATGTCGTCCAATTACATCTTCATATCCTGTGTTGTCCACTCCAACTTTAGCATTTAGATCTCCCATAAGGATGGTGAGGTCCTTTCGTGAGCACTTTGCTATAATTGATTGCAGCCTTTCATAGAACTGATCTTTATCATCGTCGTTGCTATCATTGGTGGGTGCATAACATTGGATAACATTCATTGTGATCCCTTGCTTCTTTGTTCTGAATGATGCTTTGATTATCCTGGGTCCATGAGATTCCCATCCCACAAGTGCATTTCGTGCTTCTCTGGACAGCATTAGAGCAACTCCCTGAGTGTGTGGCGCATTTTCCCCTTCGTGACCGGAGTACAGCAGCATCTCTCCTGTACCTAGCCTTTGTTGTCCAGTTTGTGTCCAATGGGTTTCGCTGATTCCGAGTACTGCCAAGTTGTATCTCCTCATTTCCATTGCTATTTGGCTGGTCTTTCCTGTTTCCCACATTGTCCGGACGTTCCATGTACCTATAAAGAGTGTTGCTCTGGTTGTTAGAAGGTGCATCGGTCTCGTGACTTCCGAAGAATTTCGGCTTTCATCATGAGACGTCATTATTCCTTCAACTCCCAGGGCAGAGTTTAAATGGTTTGGATTATTTTTTCTGGTTAGCGTTTTTTTAGCGAGTTAGCTTTTCTACGGGATGGGGTCGCTAACCCCATGCCCAACCCTCCTCCTTTACCCGGGCTTGGGACCGGCAGTAACTCTAGAAGAGCTACAGGCGGAGTTCAGTCGATAACTACATACAAATATATGTGATATCGGTGATTAAAGTGTCTAGAATCAAATGAAATGTTTTCAGGATTATGGGATCTACACAACTGTGAATTATCAACATGTTCACAAATATAACTTTTTGATTAGGTCAGATCTCACGACCTGTTCGTCGCAGAGTACATGTGCTAAATACAGTATCGTAGAGCTTTAATACTTTTAAAGACAGCAAGAAAGAAGATTGGTGCATAGTAATATGAATTCATTTTATCTTGTTAGGTTCTCATCAGCTGCTTGCAACCTAAATTTGTAAATAAACGTTATTGCAGGTATTGACATTCTAATACATACGAGGGTGATTAAAGGTGAATTCATGTATTGTGATGTAATGAAGTTAACAAAGTCATAAGAAATTTTGTTTCGGATTAATAAAGTTTGGGAGGGGAAGTTCCAGAAAATTGAAATAGTGATTAGAAGTAATAGAGTTAACAGACATTAGATGGTTATGTAATGAAGCAACTGAAAATAGATTAATGGTAATAAAGGAAGATATGAATTGAAGAAAAATGACAATGATGTAATTTTAAACTTCAGAAAGAGTTGAAATAATGAATGAAGTAATTAATAGAAAGGTGTTTAATGTTGCCAGGACAAAAAAAGATCTATTACTGCCTCTTTTTGCACAAACTCTAATGGCAGCTCGTTCTACCGGAAGATAAGCAAAAAGGTGTGAATGGAGTGGATCGTTAGTATCTAATAAAATAACACTTGGTAGTAGCTTACAATATTTCAAATATCTATCCACAACCATATTCAAAATGACCTCAAAAGATTCATAGCAAACCTTACTAACGGCTTTCAGCACTCTCTGCAGCACAACAAAATATTTTCTCAAAAGCCCAGAATAATAAGTAATATACGATCATTTACAAATCATAAAAGTAAATGCCGAGTAATGCTAAAAGCATGCAACCTCTTTGTATAATAATTCAGACGCAACACTTTCTTCGATATTAATAAACATAAGAAGACCAAGAGAGATCAGAGAAAAAAGTTACAAGATAAATGGTAAGGAGAATAGGTATCTCAGATATCAAAGCAGACCGGTGATCAACAATCAGACACTTACCATAAAGACGATTTAGCCATTCCCTCTCAAATTTTGTGCTACATGCCAACGGATTTTTAATTCCAGCACCATTGTTGATAAATTCAACAGGACCAATACATTTTAACAAATCAATCGTTGATGAAGTCTGGAAGAATAAAAAAGAAATGAAATCGAAGATGCGGTGGTTACATTGGTGATGGGAATTTTATTAAACATTTATTTATTTCAAGTATCATTACCAAAGTTTAACTTGATAATTACTTATGTTACTCTATTTCATATGTAAAAGAAATACAATAACAAAAAGTATGCAAGGATTCCCATTCGATAGATACATTCGTGTTCTATGGGCTTTCTTAAACATCTGAAGAAACTAAGAAACCGGTTAAAACTAGCAAAATCTTCAAGAATGCTGTGTATTTGAACAAATTTATTATTGTATATAGAGCATTCCAGAGCATTATTTATGAATCTGCTGCGGCAAAAAACAAATGTTGTTTGTAGACTATCTACGTTTTAAATTAACCTGATATAAGAATATGGTAACTCGTTTTCCAGACAATGAGAAATGAATTATACATAAGGAAGAGTCGATACCGTTTGTAAGATCTCATTAGGTGTTAGTTTAGGAGGTATTCTGGCTTTCTGAAAAGCAGATGTTTATAGTAGTCGGTGTCTTGAAATGGTAACATACTGACTGCCTACAACTAACTTACACCAAGCGGAATTCATTGAAGTGTTAAGTCAGTCAACCTAATGATTGTGTTTCGATTTCGTTTTATTAGTGTTAATGGCTGAACCTACTGGCATTGATTATTGTCCATTGACTGAATAACACAAATATTTGTAACTTCAACTACTGAAATACGTTTACACAAGCAGTGAGAAGAAGTTTATCAGAAATATATTATCCATTAGCGTAATAAATTGGAATCGGATTAAATCTTCTAACAGTTAATGTTAAATTCACTTAGTATTGTTTGCTTGAATCCCAGAGGGTGAGTCCCAGAGTTAACATCAACTCTGAGATGCAGGTACATCCAGCTGACGAGTCCCAAATAGGAAGAAACTCGCGTCCTGGATTCCACTGCTAGCCACTATCCATCTTTGCTTACAGTTAATATTAACTCCTTGAAATTCTTAAGATTTAAAGTACATTCTTTAAAGATGTCTAAACCATCATGTCTTGAAATATTGCTGTTTACATTTTACTCTCAATGTTCTAAGTCATTTCTTTATAAAGAATAATTCTTTTCTTTTTCAGTTTAACTTGCATCGATTTTTTTTTCTTTTTGAGATCAGTTTATAATGACATAATTTTTTGACATCCTTAATTAAACTCACATAATGAATTAACAATTACACTTGATTGATAAAATAAAAAAGATGGTAGAGATTGCAATTATTTGTACCCTTTAATTAGGTTTTAATTGAAACACGCGCTTCGTCCCATTTAGGACTCGTCAGATACATCTGGCTAATGAGTCCCAATTAGGACGAAACGCGCGTCCTGGATTCCACTGCTAACCACTATCCATCTTATCGTCATTATTGTTATAACATATTGACAAATCTTGTTTTCACTGATGGTGGAGAAGATTTGTAGCTCAGGTGGATGATTTTGATGGAGTTTTGTTCTCTCAGATGGATGGTTTGCTCGTGGAGCTTTCATCGTCCTTCTGACCAACATCATCAGCACATCATTAGCTACAAAATCCTATTTAACTAGCCCAACTCTGTGCTGTTGATACCGTTAAGAAGGACGATGAATGCTCCACGACCAAACAGTCCATCTGAGAGAACAAAACTCCATCTAGATTTCACTAATTAATTTTGTAGCTGATATTAATAAACATAATTTTTTTAAACCGCTTAAAATTGTAAGTTGTATGAATAAATAGATGAAGGAGAAGTTTTCGAAATTCTAAAATAAAATAAAGATTTCCCTCTTTATCTCTACATATAGACATGAACCAGACAACGTAATTTGTTCAATAAATACTGGAATAAATGTTTGTGATTTCAATCGTTGTTGTACCTCACAAACTACGAATTTTCAGGTATTAACTGAAAAGATTAAATATTTACCATTCTTTGTAAAGAGGGAATCTCATATGACAAAAATGACTCGAATCATTACTCACTGTTATTTAATTTGATACATTTAAAAAAACATAAGAAGTGTTATTTGGTAATGTCATTGGGAAATAATTATGGATACATTCAACTGAGGTTACATTGTTGGATACAGTTCCTATTAGGAACTAAGAAAGCACTATTTTACTGTAAATTTAAGGAAAGGTTTCTCACAATAAATAAATTTCATTGGGTTCTGAATAATGTAAACGTCTATCAGTGATTCATACAAAATTTAATGAAAACTCCCAGAAATGATCACTGTAAGCAGTAGAATACGATTTTTAGTGTAAATTCCATTGTTTTTTACTCACGTAGATTTTTGGTTCACAGATGATGATTGTTATACTCGCTGAAGCATCCGACAATAAAGTTTATTCAACAGTAAAAATATTAATTTATTTACAACAATTAAGCATATACCGAGGTGAGTGACAAGAATATAACATAGACATTTATTGAAATCATGAAACGACCAAGGTTAGTCAACTATGGAAAAAGCTGGGAGAACTGGACGAGCATTTCATCCTAGTATGTCACTCCCCGGCAATGCATATTCACAACCCCAAACCCGGGGGTCAAACCAAGGACCTTCGGTTTCATACGTGAATGTTGGACATCAGTGGTAGTCTGATTTATATCGGTCCAGGATCTCAATGAAATTCAACAGTCTCCAAAATTATATAGGTGCATCCCACCTTTCTGTTGTCGTGTTTCACACCATAACTAGATAAGTTCATTTTCTCTGTACAAAGTTGATCTTAGTAGATGAATTTCCTCTGTTATTTATAAGTATGACTATCAATTTAACATTATGTAGAAATGTCGCAGTTTTTATTCTCTGAATTATTCGCCTTATATACATTAATCGTCTTCATTTTAGAAATGGAAAGAAATAATCTGATGTGAAAAAAACACAGTGTGCTTAACTAGTTATAAGAGTAAATATTTTTGCAGTGTTATGTACATATATCATCACTGGATCAGTTTATAAACATTCTAATTTGATCGATATTTTTTCGCTTAATTTTTCATAACACCTTTTTCTTTTGTCCCGTATTCAGATTGAGTGCTGCACACAATGTAAACGACTGAAAAATACTCATTTTCAGTACACTACTCACTCTCAACTAAACTTTTTTATCGCCTTTGAAAATCTCTGAGATATTTGATTATCATGAATCTAAATGGTATAACATCAGCTGGCTTATTTTGTTAGAAACCATAGCAGCAAACAGTGATTATGGTTCAAACGTTGAATTATTATTGATTATTTGAAGTGATAGATTTATATTTCATAAAATAAAAAAACAACTTTAACTGTCCGTAAGATTTAATTAACGATTATCTTGCTTTGAGTTACCAGAAATGGTAATTTCAGTATTAAATACTTGATAAAGTTCTGAATTAGATTTTTTGTGCATAGTCACGTTAACTTAACCAAATAACTTCCTCTTATTATTATTATAGTACTGATTCTCAGTCATCTTTTAATTTAACCTCGCAAAAATGTTTTCTGCAAATGTACTGTTAACATGAAATCCTCTTATTCGCATATATTTGTCGTTAGGCCTATAAATGTAAGCTTTTCATAAACTCTCCTTCCATCTAAATTACTGGAGCTTTAGAATTTTCATCCTATCACATTATACTACCTGGATGTGTCCACTTTCATTCATGGTGATACCTGAACTTTTCAGTAAACTTATCTTGCCTAAATCTACAGGAAATAGTTTAGCAAATTTCCTATGCTATCATTCACTTTTGTATTAACTGTTTGAATTTTCCCATTGATGTTTAGGACTGTAAATAATCAGTCTCTTATTGGCATATGTACATCCTGTGAGGATTGCCTCAACATTGCCTTGAGTCACAAGTATTATGAGCAGAGATGATGGTGGATAGCAGTAAAATCCATAAAGCGCGTTTCGTCCTATTTTGGACTCGTCAGTTGGATGTTCCCGCATCCAACAGTTTATGTTCACTCCGGTATTCGAACCCAATATCGTTCGCTTTGAACACTGACCTGTTATCCACTTAGCTACTGATTCCTGGTAGCCTCTAGCTGGATTCCACTGTTAAACACCATCATCTCTGCTTATAATTCTTGTGTTCTGATAGTGTAACATACCTTATAATCGGTGCGCCGCATACAATCATGGATAATATCATGTCTAATTAATGATTCAGATTCTGTAGTTAGGTCATTTTATTCTGTTGATTGATGTTAATGAAATGATCACTTCAACTTTTTAGACTATGATTACTGGAGTAACGAACTTTAAGATTAAATGACACATTAAACTTATTTAAAGGTTAGAAAACCACTTTCAATTTGTTTCAGCAATTCTCTTGGTTATGTTTTTTGAATGGAAGTTTTATTCTTCACTTTCGAGCTTATTTCTTTCTAATATTATTGCCATTCATGAATTATTATGTTTAATAACTTGATATTATTTCTCTCTTCTTGGTAGATAAGATACCATTATAAATTGTTACTGACTGAGAATGTGATTCCCGTTACTATTGTATTTATTGTACTTATTATCGTACTCAAGTTATTTACATTTTGAAATACTGGTTTTTGTTTTTTCGTAAATCATCCGTTTATAAGATCTGTTTTCTGACTGACTGGAAATTCGTCAAGGTTATTTTAAGTTTGTCCTCATACCATACTGTCCCGCACTTTACGCTAAGATACTCTTTTTCTTCCAGATTTTGTCTATTTATGGGTTTTACCTGCTTTTAATAATGTTTAAAGGTTTCTTAAATCGAATGTTATTTGATTTTTTACCGATTTTTTTTGACAAGATGCTTCAACTAAGTAATAAATATATATAAGTTAATATCCATTAATTACCGCTTGATATTTACGCTGTTTGACAGAATTCTCACTGAATTTTATAGATTTCAATAACTATGGTAATTTTAGTTCGTATTCTTTCCTGGAAGGATTATTGTGGTTTTCTTAACAGTTTCTTCATTTGGAGGATTGACGTATACGGTTTT